TTGCAAAATTCTACCATATAATCTTCAAAGTAATTTCTATCACCAAAGTCATATTTCCAACTAACAATCCTCCTTTTTGTTTCAAATTTTCCCATTCTAATCACCAATAATTACTAATGCTACTTGATTGCAAATGTATCAATTTAAAACTGAAGAATTAGTAGAATTCTCTGATTTTTAATCACTGGCTTTGGTGGTCAGTGTGTAAATATCATTACACACAGCACTGCATTTACAGATAGATCTTAACATATTACTTTTGATGATGAGTGCAATGCCAGTCTTCTCCAATTTGTCATATGTGGTATAGTAAACCATATGAATGTGCAATTTTAAATGGTTAATACCACTACATTTCAGCTCACTAGTGCCTAAGATATTAATCTTTATGTGTTACATGTCATTTTTTGCTACCTCCAATATTTCTAGATTCATAGTTCATATATTCCACGTTGTTTACCAGTGGATTTTTTACAGTTGTTTTGTTTTGGATTTTTAACCAGTGGATTTAACAGCTGTTTTCATATTATTTTTTTTATCAGTGGATTTATACCAGTTGATTTTTACTGATATCAGACAGATTTTGAATAAAAGTAGAAAACACCATAAAGATGTTTACTTGTGCTTTATTAACTATGCAAAGGCTTTCAATTGTGTAGATCATCAATAGCTATGCACAACATTGTGGTGAATGAGTATTCTGAAACACCTAGTTGTGGTCATGAGGAACCTATATATAGACCAATAGGCATTTGCGCAAAGAGAACCAGGGGATACTGAATGGTTTAAAATCAGGAAAGGTGTGTATCCGTGTTGTATTCTTTCACAATAATTTATTTAATCTGTATGCTGAGTAAACAATCCCAAGAAGATGAACAAAATGAAGTTTAACGTGACATCAGGATTGAAATAAGATTCATTAACAATCTGCAGTATGCTGATGACACAACCTTACTGGCTGAAAATGCTTACTGAGGGAGATCAAAGACCTAGCCTTCTCTATGGATTGCACATCACTGTGAAGGACACAAAAATCCCCACACTGGACCAATAAATATCATCATGATAAATGGAAAAAGAATGAAGTTGTCAAATAATTCATTTTATCAGATCAGCAATTGATACTTATAGAAACAGCAGTCAAAATATCAAATGATTTTTTGCATTAGGCAAATCTGTGGCACAAAGCCTCTTTAAAGTGCTGAAGAGCCAAGATGTCAACTTGAGGTCTAAGTTGCTCCTGACCCATGCATATCATGTATTTGAATAGCCTTATATTCAAGTGAAAATTGAACAATAAATAAGGAATACTGTACAAGTTATAGTGTTGGAGGAAAATATTAAAAGTATCATGGACTACCAGGACAACTAAAACATCTGTGTTGGAAAATGTACAGCTAGAATGTTCTTTAGAAGTCAGGATGGCCAGACTTCATCTCTCACTCTCTCACACTTCGGACATATTATGAGGAAAGACAAGTGTCTGGGGAAGAATATCATGCTTGGTAACATGCAGGGTCAATGAAATAGAGGAAGATCCCCCTCCCCCCCCCAACCAGAACACTGGTACAGTTCCAGTAGCATTGTAGCAGTGATTGAGATTGGTGCAAGATCGGTCAATGTTTTCTTCTGTTGTGAATAAGGTTACTGTGAGTTGGAACCAACTCTACAACAGTTAACAAAAAATGTGGTAGACTATTTGATCAATTATTGTACTCAAAATACTTTATTTTTATATAAGTGTGCATAAGTAGGACAAACATTGGACTCTGAACTGCATGGTGAGGCAGTTTGAGCCAATCAGCAACTCTGCTTGGGCAACACGAGGCTTTTTGCTCCAAGAAAGATTGACAGCCTCAGAAATCCTATATGTAGCTACAGTTTTCGTAGTTTGACTCTTCTGTAATTATATTATGCTTATGGTAGATAAGAATGAAAATAGCATCATGATGTTTTTGTTACTGTTAAGTGCTGTCGAGTCAGTTCTGACTCAGAGAAACTCTCTATAGGGTTTCCATGGAGTCACTAATGAGTTTGAACTTCTGATCTTGTGGTTCAAACTAACCTTGCAGTCCAGTGCTTTATCCCACAGCACCACACCAGCATTATGATAGGTATTTTAAAATGTGACATAACTGTGTCATCTCCAGATATGAATTCATAAGTTTAATATTAAAAAATTCTCTAAATATAAAGTTTCACATGTAAAACCCAACATGAAAATATTCTAATGTCAATAAGATAAATATCATAACAGGAAATCGCATTGGATAAGCCAACTATGATGGACCTACTTCTTCTTATTCAAAAGTATCCATGTTCATAAAAACAGTATTTCTATGAAATGATTTTCCCTCTCAGGAATCTTGGTTGATACAATTAATTTGCTTTCAGCCTAATTAGTTAATTATAGCATCTTACAAAAATACAGGTGAAATATAAGTATCCTTTGAATTTGTATGTCAATGGGGAGAAGACTTCACTCCAGCTAATGCATAAAAAGCCTGAGCAATAGCATAATGCAGACAGAAACAGAAATATGTTTCCTGTTGGGCAAAGGACTCTCCTTATTAAGGTTTTCTTATAGTATAAGAAAGTGTTCTCTTTCTCCCTTGTCCATGACTTTCAGTTCCTGAGAATTTTAAGGAATGGATACCTAAAATAAGGGAAAACATATTTCTAATTATCACAGCCTTGTGCAATCTACCGTAACATTTCCTACACGATTGGCCTACTAATCTTGCTATTTTCTATGTCCCAGTAAGTCCAATTATTTTACTTGATTTTATTTCACTTTCTTTGGAAATATTTTTATATTTTAACTTTAATTATGAGATTGATGGCAGTTACATGCGCTTTCTGAACAACTGATATGGGCAAAATAGAATTTGTAGATACATCTATGATTTAATTCAATCTTCATTTATAATCTGTTTAGTTTGAAGCTTTTAAAAAGTTATCAGTCATCTAGTTTAACAAGATGCATTTCACTAACCCAGGAAACTAAATGGCAAATTATTTTAAGACTGCTCTTAATGACTATCTTAATACAATTTACTTTGCATGAATTGAAAATCATATTTTGTAAGATACAGCCCTCTTTGAGACTTCTCTGGTGACCTAAACATGTTCATCACAATGTAATATAATACATTAAAAAACTGATAGAAGTGTCAATTCTGAAGATGTAAGTGAATAGAGTAAATGTCATTTTCTTAAATTTCTGCAGATAAGTAACAGAATGCCTCAGAAAATAGTCAACGTAACTATCATAACAGAATTCTTTCTCATGGGATTCCCTGATGACTGGATGTTGCAAAGACTGTATGCAGCCCTCTTCTTCCTCATTTACCTGACAGCATTGATGGGAAACCTCCTCATTGTTACTCTCACCATCATTGACCGGAACCTCCAAGCTCCCATGTATTTCTTCTTGAAGAATTTATCTTTAATTGACATGTGCTACATCTCTGTAACTGTACCTAAGTCCATCATAAACTCTCTGAGCAACGTCCACTCCATTTCCTACTTAGGATGTGCCTCACAGGTTTTTCTTGTTATTTTTTTTGCGGGCACAGAATATGCCCTACTTATAGTCATGTCCTATGACCGATATGCTGCCATCTGCCATCCTCTGCACTATGAGACAGTTATGAATAGAGATTCCTGTGTTCAGATGGTGACTGCATCATGGTTTAGTGGTTGTGTCTATGGATCCATTCATGTAGCAGGTACATTCTCTGTGAATTTCTGTGGGCCCAACTCAGTTCTTCAGTTTTTCTGTGATATCCCATCATTACTTACACTTTCCTGTTCTGGGGACATTTTAGAATATGCATTTATCATTGCTAGCTGCTGTTTTGCTTTTGTATGTTTTGCCCTTATGGTTGTGTCCTATGTTTACATTTTCTCAGCTGTCTTAAGGATTCCATCAACTCAAGGCAGGTTCAAAACTTTCTCCACCTGCATGCCCCACCTCTGTGTGGTGACTTTGTTTCTGTCTTCAGGATTTATTGCATACTTAGGTTCAGCGTCTAAATCCCCATCATCATTAAACCTCTTTATGTCTGTTTTATACTCCCTGTTACCTCCCACTCTGAATCCTGTCATTTATAGTCTGAGAAACAAGGACATGAAAGTTGCCCTTGAAAAACTGTTTCGTAAAAAAATGTTCCCAAGGATGTAAATACAATTACTTATGGACTTAAATATTTACTAATGCACAGGAGACTATTTGTTTTACAC